GTCAATAAGTTTGGTATCAAATTGTAAATTATAATTCAAATTTCAGTATTATGTATTAGTTAAATTCTTAATTTATAAGTAAATAATCAAAAACACAGTTAAACATCGATTTTTGTGTGTCACGAGGTATGTTGGATACAGCACTAGTTCAAATTAGATGGTTGTGATGTTAAAATACAAAGTCTATAGTTTTGTATGAACTAGGAACTCAAACTACTGATATTGACAAGCTAGAATATAAAATAAGAACCTCTTATCTTTTGTATTTGCTAACATATCGGTCACGTACTGAATTAAACACAGTGGCCCCTCACCCACCTCTTTCCATTTTTGGAAATGCTCCCTTATATGTATGACATGAATAACCAATCGAAAGCTTAGAACGTCCCCCTAGTGGTTTTCTCAGCCATTTTGACATGTTATTATGTTCTCGTTCTTTTCACACAAGATTTCAACCGATAAGTCTTTAGAGAGCTCGAAATTTAATATTTTTTAAGACCCAAATATAGCTTAGTTACTAAGCTTGATAAATTATAGTGGAATTGTATGGTATTGATATAGTAACTTGTGATTTTTTTGGTTATTTAAAATGTATATACAAACCTAAAAAAAACTTTTTTCACATCATCCACGTGGCAAATTTCATAAGGCTTAGCAACCTATGAAAACAGCAAATGAGTACAAAGGTCTTAACTAGAAGAGATAATTGTTTGCTTTACTTCTTTATTTACAGTTCTATGATTTAAGAAAAATAAGTTTAAGAACTTATTTGTAAATAGTATTAATGTATATAATGTATAATAATTGACATGTGACTGTACTTTACAAAATACTAGTCCACTAAAACACAACCAAGACAGGTTACTTTGTAAAGGCCAGTTTTATATTATTGGATATAGTATCATGAGTGCAGGTGTGCTACATCATTGTAACTTCTGTATTGTTAGCCAGACATGGCAGAAAGGTCAATCTAATAAAAATATATATAAATGTATAATGTTATGAGATTTAAGCGATTTAGACTACACATTTGTGTTTTTGTGTTACAATCTGTAGTCATTCTAGAACGAAAAAAGGGTAGAGAAAATGACAGAAAAAATATAAAGTTTGACTGAAAACAAACGTTTGAAATGTAATTAGGAGGTTTTAGAGATTACACAAATAATATTTAACATGAAAATCACTTCACATTTGGACTGGTAATGAAACAGACTCAATATTTTCACAAACAAATCTATAATAAAAATACTTCATTAAAAAATATGATTTTTTGGGGTACGAAAGACTTGTTATCTTTACTAAAAGTTTACCAAATTATGAGAAGATACACTTACTG